AAAAAGGTTGGAGACCGCTGGTTTAGAGTCCATAAACACAAAGCTGGATATCCTAGGGATGCTCCATCAGGAGATCAGAGAGTTTATCTCCAGAAGGGCAACGCAGAACTCAGACGTTCTGTCACAACAATAAAAGTGAATAAATCCCCAGAAAAACTGTCCTTGACATATAAACGAGAAGCATGAGAGACAACATGGTTTTGAGTCTTAAATGTTTGTGATCATGTTTCATAGGTCTCGACGTTAATTTGTTGTTAAGATGGATTTTGTGTTTGAGCATTTGATTTTGGATAGTTGTTCCTGCCTCATGTTTTGTTATGTTTTGCAAGTAGTGATGTGGAGATGACACCTCACGGAGGGTGTGGCACATTGTGCTTATTGTGTTGATGTGTGTCATTGGTTCAGATATATGGATGACACCTGGGTGAAAATCAAATGTCCGGACGTTTCACATTTCACGGATCACATTAACTCAGTGGACCGACACATCAAATTCACCAGGGAGGATATGAAAAGTGGCAGGTGCCTTCCCAGCTGGACTTTTGTCAAAGCTGGGAAGGCACCAAAAGAAAGCTCCAGCTGATCCAGGACAGAAGGAAACCTCTGACTAAGTGAAAACCTGTAGTGATCCCATACATGTCAGGAGCAGTTGAGACTAATTTTCTCTGAACACTGCATCTCTGTGGCTTTTAAACCCCAAAACCCGCTGTGCCAAAAATAGGTCCACCCCAAGGATCGGGTCCCCCGACACAAACAGAGTAACATAGTGTACGCTGTTAAGTGCAGGAGGATTGGCAGGATTTATACATCGGGGAAATAAACAACCTCTGGCTAAGAGGACGGCACAACACAGAAGAGCTACCTGGTCAGGCCAGGAGTCCTGTAGTTCATGGACGTTGATGTTGATGTCATTGATCTGTAGGCTGAGCAGTGTGTTGGTTCTGATTCAATCATTTATTTGTCTATCAGTGGTCACGCTGTACTTCAGTCTGTTTTATCTCCTCGTCTGTCACTTTTGGGAAGTTGGATTTTACCCCTTACCGGAATTATTTGCTTCACTGGCTGATGTCCAGTTGGATTGAATATTTGCATTTTGAACTTTAACTTTGGTCTTCTGTGTCCTATGACTTGGCAGTCTTCCCTCTGTCTCTCATTACAAGGAGCCGGGGATCGAACCACCAAACTTCAAATAAGATCCATGAGACCGAGATCATGCGAAGCGAGGACCCAAATGCAGATGATTATAGGCAGGAAGGAGTTAACTGAAGCTGAGCTATTGATTTATTAATGTTGATTGGCAGAAAATACAGAACTAAAAACCAAAACAGAACAGAACTAAAACAGAAAACCTAAGCTGACAAACGCAAGGAACAGAGAACACGGACCATGGAGAACCACAAGGGTAGATTAACAGTCTGACGAAGAGCAGAGGAAACACTGACGGGTGCGTTATGATCCAATTGGCCCCACTCACGCACCACCCAAGAAAGAACACAAACAGTAGTGTCTTTTAAAGTGCTAAGCAGCCATTTATTTGCTTCAGCAGTGAGCAGTGCCAAAAATAACAAACAAAACTCCCTAATGGTCCTTATGCTTTCCTACACAAATGAAAACAAACAAAAAGACAATTCACTTACCAAACTTACGAAACACAGGAGAAAACTTATTCAACAAAAATGGCTTCTCACGCTTAATAGGATGCTGCAGTGAACAATATATACAAGGTGAACAAAATACACAATTCCTACTTTACAAATCTATGTACAGCTATTTACAAGATTAAGGTACTAACACCAGACACATACACACACACACAATTCATACTTGCAAACAATGGGCAAAGACACTCTACGAAACAACGAATCAAAACCACAGGCTCTTTGTTGGATGGTGGAGGCTAGGAGAGAGGGGGGCCAGGTGGCTGTCATCTGGTGGTTAAATACTGGAGGTGATAAACCAATTATCCAATCCGAGGACAGGAAGAGACTCCACCCAACTACTCAACAGGCACGCCCAAGTGTCCATCTGCTAAGAAAGAAAAGGGGAAAACACCCACAGCCATTCTCTGGTGGGAGGAGTCACACATAAAACTAACACTGATAACATTGGATCATAACATTTACCCCCCACCCAAAAATCAAACATTTAACCCCAAATGAAATGTTTGATTCATGACCTAGAGAGGGCATCAGCCATGATGTTCTCTAAGCCCTTTTTGTACCGGATTTCAATGTTGAAGTCCTGGAGGAGTAAGGACTAGCGCACAAGGCGCCGGTTGCTGTTCTGCATCCGAGTTAGGAACTGGAGAGGGTTGTGGTCAGAAAACACGACGATTGGAAGGGGACTGGACCCAAGGTACACTTCAAAGTGTTGCAAGCTAGCAATAAGGCTAAGGCTCCCTTTTAAATCGTGCTGTAATGTAATTGGTGTTTTAGGAATTTTTTGGAAAAGAAACAGACTGGATGGTCAATGCCATGTTCATCCTCCTGCAAAAGCACTGCACCAGCCCCCAAAGCACTGACATCCACCTCAAGCTTGAACGGACTAGTGAAATCAGGGGCGGCCAGCACAGGAGGACTGCAAAGCAGAGCTTTGGCAGCTTCGAAAGCAAACTGACATGTCTCTGATCACACGAATGGTGACTTTGGACTGGCAAGACTGGTTATTGGGGCTACTACCTTGGAGAAGTTTTTGCACAACCCACGATAATAACCTGCCATGCCTAGAAAACGACGCAGCTCCCGACGCGTCTGCGGAGCTGGGAAGTTTAATATTGCCTGCACTTTCACAGCAACAGGGAGGACTTGACCCTGTCCTACTTGTTTCCCTAGGTAGGTTACAACAGCCTTTCCGAACTCACATTTAGCCAAGTTTAGTGTCAGTGAAGCATCATGCAAGCCGTCAAATATTTCACTGAGGGTTTTGAGGTGTTCAGTCCAGGTGGATGAATAGGCCACTATATCATCCAGATACACTTCGCAGTTTATGACTCCATGTAATACAGTGTTCATCAGTCGTTGGAATGTGGCGGGAGCATTTCTTAACCCGAACGGCATGACGTGTATTGCAAAAAGTGTTCGGGTGTCACAAAGGCACTGATTGGTTAATGGGACTTGCCAGTATCCTTTTAGGAGGTCAAGTTTGGTCACAAAGTTTGCCAAGCCCACACGGCCGACCAGGTCATCCATGCGTGGGAGTGGGAAAGAGTCTGGTTATGTAGCAGCGTTTACCTTTCGGTAGTCGTTACAGAAACGGGAGGTTTGATCGGGTTTTGGAACGAGCAGTGATGGTGAGTTCCAAGAACTATTACTGGAACGGGCAAAACCATGGTCAAGAACATACTGGACTTCTTGCTGCATTATGGCACGCTTTGTGGGATTTTCTCTGTAGGCATATTGCTTTATTGGTTTGTGATCACCCACATCAATATCGTGACTTAG